GATTTAAACTATTTGGTTTATGCCTTATTTTTACAATAATTTAGGAGGTATTGAAAGATTCCAATTTTTCATGAGTTGAAATAGACAATAAAATATACAAATAGGCAAGGTTCTTCAGTAACCTGCACCAAAATATTTTAGGCTTTTGAGTCAGAAGTCACAACTTCTAGGTAAGCTAATATAGAAAAAATAATCTAAGTTAATTTTTAGAGATTCAGTTCCTTGTTAATAAACATGTGCTGTTATTGGTGACATTAAACAAACGTATGTCACTGTTATGTGTGTCTGTGTGTATAAGCACCATGGAAATGCATATATAGAAACACTAAGACTGCAATAATAATAATAACAGTAATAATAGATGATCCCCAAATAAGGTCTTTAGGGGACGTTCAAGATAAAATGCTAATCATTCAATCTTCAACTGCTCCCAGGGCTATATTCTTTGTAGCTTCTTTCCTAATTATGCTTTTTCCTAAGTAATATAAACATTCCCAGCAAACCTGTTTACACTACTAATTAGTCACATCTGGAATAAAGTATTTGCAAAGATAAGAGTCAACAAACAGTTCTCTAAATTATGAAGGCCTTTTTGAAATTAGTAGACTCTGAAAAACGTGGTTTGATTCTACAGAGTATTACATTCCTTCTATTAATGCTTAATGTATACCATTTAAAGCAAGGGGCCGTTTTTCACAGTCTAAAAAGCCTCTGAGTAAAGAATCTACATCTCTAATGGTACTGCTATGGTCTGAATGTTTGCATCCCTTCAAAATTTATATGTTGAAACTTAATCTCCAAGGTGATGATAATGGAAAACGGGGCCTTTGGGAGGTGATTAGGCAGAGCACTCATGAATAGGATTGATACGCTTATAAAAGAGGCTCCAGAGAGAGAGAGCTTAGCTCCTTGCACCATGTAAGGATGCATGAGAATGGGCCATCTATGAGCCAGGCAGCTGGCCCTCCCCAGACACCAAATCTGTTGTTGCCTTGATTTTGGACTTCTCAGCCTCTAGAACTATAGGAAATAAATTTCTGTTGTCCATAAGCACCCAGCTAATGATAATTTGTTATAGCACCCTGAAGAGACCAAGAAAGGTACTTTTATTTTCATTTGTTTTTAAGCACTCAAAAATATTGGCAAAAATCCAACCCACTGACCAGTATGTAGATCTCGGTGTTGCAAGGTTTCTGTTACAGTGTGAATAAAGTTGCCTTGAAGGTGATTTAGTTCCCGGACTTCCTGTGGCATTTACATTCTAGATTGAGCTGCCATAATTAATTGAACATTATTTATCAGACGATTGTGACTTTGGGCTATTTTTCCTGTAGGCAGCACCTGCGCAGCTCTTACTAAATCATCGTGATTGGGTAAAGGTACCACTGAAATTCCTTCTCCGCTGAAATTCTGTTCTGGCAACTTTATTTTCACACACATGTTTCTTGTCTATATGAAACCCACTACCACACATTTATAGTTCAAACTCTCTTCAATTAGTTTGTTACCTTAGAATTACCTTCAGCTTAAAAACCAATATCTGACATTCCAAATGCAGGAAGCAAATTGAATTGAATTGCACTAGTCACAAAAGTAACCTTCAAAATCCTGTGGTTGGTATGGATTTTAATATATTTAATGTGAGAAGTGCATGCCCTCTTATCTAGCCTTTGCCTAGCCTTCAAATCACATTTAAAGCATGTCAGCATCCCAGGTGCTGTTTGAGGCACAAGGGATATACAGGGACCCTGTTCTTCAGCGTTGTGTTTTTGTATGGTGAAACAGACAATCAAAAATATTAAAAAAATAAAAATAAGACAGTATTAGATAATGAAAAAAATGTAATGAAAATTTGAATAGAATGTATGTGTGAGAGAGATTAGTCAGTTTGAAGTTTGGGGTAATTGTGATTGAGAAATCAGGCTTTGAGATAATAATCCAAGCAGAGGATTTCGGGAGGAGGGAAGCATCAGAGGAACACCTTGGGAGTGGAGCTGAGCTGGTCGGGTTCTAGAGACAGGGAGATGCCAGAGGGTCCTTCACGTGAGTAGGGGGAGCTTCGGAGGAAATGAGGTTAGAAAAGTAAGGTCTGCAGACAAGGATAAGAAATTTGGATTTCGTAGAACACAGACCATCAATGGGCTTGTTATTTTTCTTCCTCCATATATTCTTCTGTACATTTAGTTATTTCAATTTATTTGGTAAAATTATTTTTCATGTTTCAGTATGAAAAACTTGTACTGAATGTAATAGTAAGTATCTGTTTAAAGAGTTGCGAAATGACTAACTTTGGGTAATTAACATGTAATTAAATTAAACGAATTATTCTTATCTTCAGGGGTTACTGGCCATTGGTAAGCAGAACGGTCATAAAATTTAAAAATATAAATTTGTACAGTTATAATTATGAGAATATTATTGTTAGAAGATGTGGAGAAACAGTGAGATTTACAGAATAAGGGCTTTAAAAACTGAATTCACAAAAGAATACACAAGATATTCAGTATCACTACGAATCAGGGAAACGAAAATCAAACCACAGTGATGTAACACTTTGCACTCTTATTTGCAGAAATTAGATATCTGACTGTAACAACTATTGTTGAGGTTTGCGTGGAAACTGTCATTCACTGCTTGTAAGAATATAAATTTCAACAAGTACTTTGAAGTTCAAGATGGCATATTTAGTAAAGTTTAAAAAATGCACATCCTCTGATTGAGTTGTTCTGCCTGTAAGAATATAAGCATAAACCTACGGAGACATGAGCAAGAATATTCATAGCCCCTGTGATAACTCAGAAACAATCTAAATAATCGCTTCAAGGAGGATGCATAAAAAAGGTGTATTTATGCCGTGGAACATCCTAGAGCAGTGAAAATAAACGAACTAGCACCACGTGTATCAACATAGATACTCTAACAAACATCACATTCAATTATTAATTGAATGTGATTAATTTCCAGTTTTGGAAAAGTACATAGGGAATTGTATTAGTCTGTTCTCACACTGCTATAGAGAAATACCTGAGACTGGGTAATTTATTAAAAAAAAAAAAGAGGTTTCATTGGCTCATGGTTCTGCGGGTTGTACAGGAAGCACAGCAGCTTCTGCTTCTGGGAGGCCTCAGGAATGTTCCAATCATGGCAGAAGGGAAGGGGGAGAGAGGCGCTTCCCATGGTGGAAGCAGGAGCAAGAGAGACCAGGGAAATGCCACATACTTCTAAACAATCAGATCTCGTGAGAATTTACTCATGATCACAAGAACAGCGGCAAAGGGATGGTGTTAAACCAGGAGAAACTGCCTCCGTGATTCAGTCACCTCCCAGCAGGTCCCGCCTCCAACCTTGGGGATTATAATTCGACATGAGATGCAGATCCAAACCATAGTGGGTACGATACAGAGTCTGCAAGGCTTAAAACGAACAAAGCATAATATACATTGCTCAGAGGTATACATAAGTGGCATAATGCAGGGAAATGATAACAATTTCCGTTTGTCACAGGAAAGAATAATCAAATGACAATTTCTGTTCGAGCATTAACTTTTGCCAGTTTGTCAACAACTCTGCCAAATTCATCTTCTTTGCAGATTCACGTTCAGCAGAGAGTAGGCCCAGATCTGTTCATTTGTCTTTATTAATAGCTAACTGAATGATGCATTTTATTAATTTTAAAATTTCTTTCACTTGAAGTAAAAGATATAGCAAAAGTCTTCAAAAATAATATGTTTTGCAGAGGTTACACAGTAAATTCCAGAAATTAAAATACTATCCACGTCTTTTTTTTTTCAAGTTTGTTTCTTGCAGCTTTAAAATGTCTCCATAGAAACAAAAATAAAATAAATTCCCTATTACACAATAAATTCCAGAAATTAAAATAATACTATCCTTGTCTTTCTTTTTTTAGGTCTGTTTCTTGCAAAATTTTTTTTTTTTTTTGAGACGGAGTTTCGCTCTTGTTACCTAGGCTGGAGTGCAATGGCTCCATCTCGGCTCACCGCAACCTCCGCCTCCTGGGTTCAAGCAATTCTCCTGCCTCAGCCTCCTGAGTAGCTGGGATTACAGGCATGCGCCACCGTGCCCAGTTAATTTTTTGTATTTTTAGTAGAGACGGGGTTTCACCATGTTGACCAGGATGGTCTCCATCTCTCGACCTCGTGATCCACCCGCCTCGGCCTCCCAAAGTGCTGGGATTACAGGTCTTGCAATTTTTAAATGTCTTCATAGGAAAAAAAAATCTCGCAGTCTATTTCATTTTATGCTGCTGTAAGACTGCAGTCCAAGTAATTTATAATGAACAGAAATGTATTGGTTCATGGTTCTGGAGGGCGGGAAGTCCAAGATCAAGGGGCTGGCATCTGGTGAGGGCCTTCTTGCAGCATCATGACATGGTGGAAGGCACTACATGGGCACAGTGAGGAGGCACTGGAGAAACTCATCCTTTTATGAGGAACCCACTCCCACGAAAGCCGAATTAAGCCACCTGAGGGTGGAGCCCTCCCGGCCTAATCACCTATTTAAAGTCCCATCTCGGCCGGGTGCGGTGGCTCAAGCCTGTAATCCCAGCACTTTGGGAGGCCGAGGTGGGTGGATCACAAAGTCAAAAGATCGAGACCATCCTGGTCAACATGGTGAAACCCCGTCTCTACTAAAAATACAAAAAAATTAGCTGGGCATGGTGGCGCGTGCCTGTAATCCCAGCTACTCAGGAGGCTGAGGCAGGAGAATTGCCTGAACCCAGGAGGCGGAGGTTGCGGTGAGCCGAGATCGCGCCATTGCACTCCAGCCTGGGTAACAAGAGCGAAACTCTGTCTCAAAAAAATAAAATTAAAAAAAAAAAAAAAAATAGAGTCCCATCTCTTAATACTGCTACGAGGGCAGTTAAACTTCAGCATGAGTTTTGAAGGGGCCATTCAAACCATAGTACCCGGTAAAGATGTTTACAGGTACTATAATTTACTTTTTTTGTTAAAAATTTCAAATATTTCCTTTCTCTTCAGGAATCGGAGAAAATGACTGATTTAAACATTGACATTATTTTATTTACTGCTTTATAATGAGGACCTAATTCTTACTGAAAATAATGTAAGTATCTAAGCATTGCTTATTTAATTTTTTCTGGCCATGGAAGGCTAGCGCCTTTGGTCATTTCTTCTGGTATTTCTCTTCAAAACGTGACTACTTTACTGTGTAATATCCATTTCATTGTATTTTGTCACAGTCACAATTAATTGCATTCTCTGTAATTTCAGTGCACTGATCTTTAAGAAATACTTTTAAAATTTTGTGTTTCACTGTACTTTGTTCAAGACTGGTACAATTCAGATTCATTAAAATATTTCATCCATAAACTAAAATTGCACTTACCAACCTGGAGTACTACCCCTCAGAGTGCGCACTGTTCCACTGCTTCAGGTTTTTAATTTATTTTATTTATTTTCGAGACAGGGCCTGTCTTTGTCACCCAGGCTGGAGTGTAGTGGTGCACACGGTTCACTGCAGCCTCAACCTCGAGCCCAACGATCCTCCCGTCAGCCCCCCCGAGCAGCTGGGACTACAGGCGCACCTCACCATGCCTGGCTAATTTTTGTATTTTTGTGGAGACAGGGTTTCCCAGTGTTGTCCAGGCTGGTCTTGAACTCCTGGGCTCAAGCAATCCTCCTTCCTCAGCCTCAGAAAGTGCTAGGATTACGGGTGTGGGCCACTGGCCTGCTTCACATTTTAAATGCAATGAAAACTGAAAGTGGTCAGAGAATAACATAATGAACTGAATTGAATTACTTCATTGTTTTCCTGCTATGCTATCATTCTTTTAATTGTAAATCTCCTGTTTAAGACCCAGGTATATTTTTACTACAGGATTTGAAGACATTCACTGAGTCCAAAGTGAGCTTATATTATCCCAAAACTTTGCAAACTCACTTTCCAAACTGGCCCATGTAGCTGAGCTCTCTGAAATAACCATCATGTCAAATACAACTTATGTTAAGAATAAATAGTAAAAATGTGCTTCTTTGGAGTTCACAGATAGACTATTAAAGCTTGATACTAACAGACCATGAAATAATTGTTTTAAGAGAGTATTTTAGCACTGAAGTGGTTTAGAATTACACACTCATGGTGATAATAAAAAGCAGTCTGGCTTTTTGTGAGTTTGTTATTATTTGGAAATTTGATGCAGACGACATCCCCTCTTCTTGTCTGCACTCAGGAGATTCATCTGCGAACTTGCCGTGTTCTTTCCCACTTCTGCTTTAGTCCTTCTCTTTCCTGATTTCCATATCCAGAACTACCCGTCCTCTCAAGGTCTACTTTTAATCCCTTTCTTCTGCCAAACCTACCTAAACCCAAAAATGACAGCAGGCTTTCTGGCACTGGACCTCTGAAGATATTATCCTCTACCATACATAGTGTGGTCGATGCCTTCCTAGAATTGCCTTCCATTTTTAATGCACTTTTAACCTGAAGTAGGCATAGAAAGTTGCAGAGATTATCACCGTATTTTTACATGTCTTTTGAAAACCTTATTGACTGATGAAAGACCAGGAGTGAAGAGAGAAAGAACTTCAATTACGTAGCCATTATATTTGTGCGGAATTAAAAAGGCACATTTTAATAAGCCAAAGATCACTCAGAAAAAGACTCAGAATGCAGACTCCTTGCCCCCACCTGAAGAGATGTGGACCTCCATTATCTGGCTGCAGCAGGAATGTAACATTTTAATCAGTTATGTCACCACCCCCAGCTCATCAGCTGATATCGATGCCGGTGATTTTTGGACCCAAATGGGAACAACGCTTTCTCAGGGGAACTGATACTTGTATTGGATGTAAAAGCCTAAGGACCTTAGGGTATTCCCATTTTGATCAAACTGATCCTGGAATGATAAATTGAAACTGTTGTCCAATTCTGTTTAGGTTAGTAAATAAAGTAAAATAATGTTTGAGAAAATGCTTTGTAAACCATTTGGTATAATGCAAATACAGCTACTCTTTTTACATTGAGGATGGTGGTTGACAAAATATTATTGTGTATGTTTTAGGATTAAAAATAGGAGGATGGAGAAGGATCATTGGTGCCGTAGTATGCCTCTTAATACGCTGACTTCAATAAATATGTTTATACCAATTTGAAAATGGTGTGAAATCAACGTGGGCCAAATCCTCGTCTCAGAGGCAGTGCTAAGTGCTTTCTCAATGTCCTCAAGTTTTTAAAACCTGCAAAAATGGAAAGGGGAAATTAAATTTAGTTTTGCTTGTAAATAAGAAATATTCTGAATCCAAACGCATATGCTGTATGCTAAACTCCTATCAGATTAGCATCATCAGAAAGTTGCATTTGCTGATTCCAGATCAAGGAAGGAGTCCTAACGCATGTGTTTCTTCTCACAATTTGAGGTCCTTTTACAGACTCAGACAGAACATGATTGTTTGTCATTTTAACCATGGCATTTTTTATGGAGCACAGCTCATCCAACGTTGTCCTCACTTCCCTGAAGCAGTGAGGGTCTCCACAGCCCACTTTTGAGGGAGCTTGGGGAGACACAGGGACTGTTCCATGTGCAATGTTAAACAGCAATTCATGATACAAGGTGGAGAAGAATATTGCATTGTTGTGTGTAGAGGAAATAAAGAACACAACCTCCTTGACAGAAACGGGACTAAAGGCAATGCCATACTTGTGTGAGGGGAGCGAGGGACCTGACTGTGTCTTCAGTGGGAGAGGCTTCCTCCCAGTAGCCATTGCCAACTGCCTTGCTGATGGCCATTCAGCAGTGACCCTGAGCACAGGCACCTGCCCTGATTCCCAGCCGGGCTGGTGGAGCTTCCTTCAAGGTCTTCCCTCCCAGAAGTGAACCAGCTTAATCTGAGTTTAGTGCACAAACCGGAAGGTTGGAGGTGGATGAAAGTAACTGGCAGGTGAAAAGAAAGGCAGCGTCAGGATAAGGCCACAGCTCGGAGCCTGAGTTTCTGTCCTGCGGTGACTTTAATGAGTCTCCTCTGCTTGACTTGCAGCCCTGATTAAATACCATTCCTGATGATTGAGCCTGCACAGCCCACACTGGGATGGCAAGTAGTGCAGGTGGAAGTCAGAAGGGCATGTTTAAGGATATTACACAGGTGACACAATGACAAAGCCCAGGGAAGAGCACAAATGTCAGGAAGCCGTTTCCGTTTCCGCTGGGAAACTGCACTCCGCTCTTCTCCCAGGAAGCGGATGTTCCCTCACCGTCCTGTTTCCCTCCCCAGGCTTAGCAGCTCACTGCGTACCTCACATTTGAGAGCTCTGAGTTATCAGGACCTGGCATCCGCGGCCCACACTCGGTCCCCTTCGGCTCGGTAGGAAATGACCTGTTTTACACATGCACATTTTCTAAGTAGACATCAAACTTCCTTTTTAGCATGGTAAAATTTATTACAATAGTATACCTCTCCTTCGCTCTTATTTTCCTTTGTAAAAATATTAAAACGTTATACTTCTTCTTAGCCTACAACATATGACTTCAGTAATTCAGGACTCTGGCTCCTTCCTACCTTTGGCTAGGAGTTACTTTGTGGCGCCAGCAAATTTCAAGTCAGTGTTCGCCCTGACTTGAAATTGTCCTTCTCCCTGGGCCTTTGAACTCTTCTGTTTGATTTTTATGCTTCCTTGGCTCTTTCCATCACCTTCTCTCCTTCCTCAAAGTGATACTCCATGGCTTCCATTCTTCTCCCTCTTCTAATTTGGTTTTTAAGTATGCCACATGACCAGACTGTTTTTCAGAGTGTTTTTTAATGTAAGGATAAATGAGGATCCAGGTGACAACTGATGAACTAATTTATAACGAAACACATGACTTTTCAAGTAATCTATAATGAGAAAGCAGACAACTATTTAACTTCTCAACTGGATTCATTTTTAATGCAAATAGTTGAGGCTGCTGGTTAAGTGACCTTCAAATGGTGGGGGGCAGTGGCTCAAGCCTGTAATCCCAGCACTTTGGGAGTCCAAGGTGGGTGGATCACGAGGTCAAGAGATCGAGACCATCCTGGTCAACATGATGAAACCCTGTCTTTACTAAAAATACAAAAAATTATCTGGGCATGGTGGTGCGTGCCTGTAATCCCAGCTACTCAGGAGGCTGAGGCAGGAGAATTGCCTGAACCCAGGAGGTGGAGGTTGCGGTGAGCCGAGATCGAGCCATTGCACTCCAGCCTGGGTAACAAGAGCAAAACTCCGTCTCAAAAAAAAAAAGTGACCTTCAAACAAGTAGGATGGTGCTGGATGATGTCGCCTTCTAGTTTTTTGACTATTGATATAATCCCTTCAGAACAGGAACTGAATAGCATATATCTACTTTATATTAATTTTAGTCATGCCTAGGCCTTATTTGACATGCCTATTTAAAGGAAATATTAAAATAAGATTTTCAATTTCAGCATGAAATATATCTCTGAAAGATATTCATACATGAAATGGTCTATGTATACTTCTATCCACAGCAGCATCGTTTTGAGTGGCAAAAGGCCGGAAGCAACTTCAATATCCCAGAGAGGGGCAGTCTGAAGCAACCGTGAGCCACCTTTCCAATGGACTAGTGAACAGCTGCAAAAACAGGAGCAAAAGGAAAGATGTTCTGCGTGACCACTGCAGTGCCATTTCTAACCTGGCAATGAGACTGCTGTAAACAGCTTGCCCGCAGTGTCTCTATGCAACGGACGCTGACGTCTAGCTCTCCTGGTTTGTGGGCAGCTCCCCTCTGGGGCCTGCACCCTTCTCTTTTGATCCTGTTGTCCTCTGAGGCCTCCTTGTCTGCATCCAGCTGATGGAATGGAACAGAGGCATGGTAAAGGCAGAGTTACTTCCGAAAGCCTTTGATCTGAAAGTGCGGCGTGCCTCCTACTCCCATTCTACATGAAAGAACTGGTCATATGTCCATATTCAGATTCAAGGAAGGCTGGGAAATGCGATTCTGGCTGAGCAGCTGCTTTCGAGCTGTGACTGTTTCCTAGGAAAAATGACAGTATGTTTGCCGAACACCTAGCTGTCTCTGCTACCATCTCTTTACTTATCATTACATGAAAAAGCAAGATGCATAATATTGTTACTGTGTCGGCTATTGTCTAAAGAGGAGTGGCGTATGCATTTGTACTTGTATATGCATTAAAAAATCTAGTACCCACGCTGACTTATGGAGAGGACTGTCGGGCATTAGTAAATGGGAGATGAAGCAGAAGAGAAACTTCGCTACACTGGATACGCTGGTGTGTTTTTGAGACGCTACCAATGTAAATTACCTGCTCAAAGAACAAAATGAATTTAAGACATTAAAAAAAGAGAGAGAATGCCATCAATCTGGGCAGAAGGTAAGGAACATGACTCCCAGACACACCGTAGACCCATCTGGCTCGGGGCCATCCCATCCCACAAGCAGCGTGGGAGTGGATGGAGCCATCTGGGATCCCCGTCAGGAGCTGCAGTCTTGAAGACTGTGAGCAGAGCGTAGGCGAAAATGTACCAGAACTGATGTCACGAGAGGAAACCTGCTTTTCTTTGCTCAGAGAAAAGAGGCAGAAGTTTATAGAAAGAAAATCTCACTTTGCGTTATTTGTGAAATATACATAAGCAAAGCAGGTGTATTTTCATAGCTTTTATGTAAATATAGGCTTCTTATTGACCCCAGTGGAAAGGAGGTATCTCCACCGCAGAAAGTGAAACATGGATGTCACTTCATACGGTAAATGTCTCCCACAGCGTCCGCCTCTGGATTTAGAAAAAAGTAGGGTATCAATAGACAGCTAAAGAAGGAGTTGCTGGCTGGCTACTGCTTACAAGCAGCCATGTGTCAAGGATATTTCACCCCCCTCTTCAAGAATTTTGCCTACAGGACTCCCAGGAGCACAGGAGCCCACTACAAGGAAGGTTATACAGGGAAGGCTCCCGTGATAACAGCAACAGCTCCAAAGACAGTGGCTGACTCCCTCTGCAGTGCCATCAGTTCATGCAGCCCCAGCTGCTAAACGAGAGTGAGTTTCCCACGAGAAAGACGTGGAGAGGGTCTCAGGAGGCACGCCCTGGACATTTCTGGGAGTCAGGCTTTCAGAGGGGACTGGAAGAATGTTTTTCACAGTTTGGCAAAGGATTGAGTCTTGAGTACAGTTGATGGGTTGTCTCTGCCCCCATCAATATTGTGATTGTCCAAGAGATAAAATAAAGGACTCTCTTTACCACAGTTACTTATAATGTGCCCTTTTCCTAACTGCCCAGCATGCTCTGCTATGTGCCAGGATTCCTCCAGTGAGTCCATCGGGAGCACGTGTGTGATGTCAGTTCTGTGGAAAATGCTTAGTTTGCATTTCTGGTGTATCAACATCCACTAGCATGTTGTAGGAATAATCACAATTTGCATCCTCCAGGGTGCCATAACTCATGGGGGAGACAAATATTGAAATTAATGGGATCAGTTGTGACACGTGCTGTGATAAAAGCCTGGACTTGCGTTTCCCAGATTCTCTGTTTCAGACAGCCATAAAATTACAAATATGGCACAAACTGGCCTTTATTTACCTTGTCAAGAAAGTTATTAAATAAAATCTATCACAATCACCACCATTTCATAAAATAAAGGTTATTGTAACACAAAAGACCGAAAGCTTATGATAGCAAAGAAGAAACACAGTTCCTTACCTTTCTAAGTTCAGATGCAAGGAACTTTTCCTTGAAAATTTCTGACACTTTATAATATGCAACTTTTAAAACACAAGTTTGTCATTTTGTTTTCAGTTTGAAACTCTATATTCAACAATGTGGTACCAAATGGCGCTGGGGAGTTCAGCTTTTTCCAGTAACAAATTTATCGTCGTCATTTCAGAAAATTGTTTCACATAGATTTAATGGTGAAAATTGAAGCAATATTCTTAATGATGTTCAGTGAATTCAGCACCCATATTCCAGGTAAACTGGCATGAGTTAAGGCTCTCATGCCTGTAGCTACTTTTTTTCTTAAAAATCTGGCATTCTGGCCGGGTGTGGTGGCTCACGCCTATAATTCTAGCACTTTGGGAGGCAAAGGTGGGCTGATCACAAGGTCAGGAGATCAAGACCATCCAGGCTAACACAGTGAAACCCCGTCTCTACTAAAAACACAAAAAATTAGCCAGGCGTGGTGTCATGCGCCTGTAGTCCCAGCTACTTGGGAGGCTGAGACAGGAGAATCACTTGAACCCAGGAGGTGGAGTTTGCAGTGAGCAGAGATCATGCCAATGCACTGCATCCTGGAGGACAGAGTGAGACTTCATCTCAGGAGAGAAAAAAAAAAAAAAGAAAAAAAAGATCTGGCATTCCTCCATCAAGAAATGGAAATGTTAGGAGAGTGGCTTCAGGTGTCCTTGTTAGGTGGTCACTACACCTGGGGCTTTGTCACTCGACGGCTGTAATCACCGACAGGGAGAATTGAGGATTTTTTTCTAAAAGAGATGCCACATATTAGTAAAATGTCTTGAACCCACACAGGCCTACTCCCTGGATGTTGGGAATATCTGTTATAATACTGAGTTTATGCTTAGGAGCAAAGGCTGATTTCAAGGAATGTTTTTAAGTGTGTGCATCTTCTCAGGGCTTACACACCAGACTGGCCAGTGGTTGTTGATGTGAGCACTCCAACACTGTGTCAGGTGCCTGACTGTGACGGATGCATCTGAATGCTCTTGGAAAATTAATGTATATATGAGGTCATGCATTATTTCCTTGTCATTCTCTGAAGTAAAAACACTGGGAATCATCCCTTCCCAGACCCTCATTCCCACAGTGCTCAGACCTTCCCTCCCTTGATTGAGCTCTCATTATCTTCCTTCCTCCATCCCCTTTAAACTTGGAAGATTTGTTCCTTCGTGTTTGGTTAAGATGCCTAACTTCTTCCCAGGAAACTCTTCCTCTGGTTTTTCTCGTTTATTCTTGTAATGAAGAGGTTTACATTAGCATGTTTCTCTAATGATGAACCAATCTTTCATTGTGGAATAAACCAGATATGGCCAGGGTATGTTAGATTATAAATCCCAAAATTTGGTTAACTACTGTTTTCTGTAAGGTTAATGCTTCTAGGCACAGCAGTTCACACCTGTAAACCTAGTGTGTGGGAGGCTGAGGCAAAAGGATCACTTGAGGACAGGAGTTGGAGACCAGCCTGGGCAATATAGCAAAACCCTTGCTCCTAAAATTTCTTTTAAAACTTAGCCAGGCATGGTGGCGCATGCCTGTAGTCCCAGCTATTTGAGAGGCTGAGGTGGGGCCTGAATCCGGTAGTTTGAGGCTGCAGTGAGTATACTCATGCCCTGCATTTCAGCCTACACAACAGAGCAAGATTCAGACCCTTAAAAAATTAATGTTTATATGCTTATAAGTGAAAACAACCTGTAATTCCCTTTATTGCCATTCCCTCCTTTTTTCTTTTTGCTTAAAAAATCAGAGTTACAATGGCTTTTAAAATGAATTGGGAAGATGATATATGTATACTCTACTTTCTAAAAGAGCTTTGCATAAGTTTGGAAATAATTGTTCCTTGAATGTTTGTTAGAATTTTCTCATAAAACCTCTGTGGGTCTTTTGTTTGTTTGTTGGTTGGTTGGTTTTGGGGAAGATTTTAAAGACCTTATTTAATTTCTTTAATGATCATATTTTCTTTCTCCTCTTAAATCAATTCTGATAATCGATTTTTTTCCTAGAAATCTTTTACCTAAAATTTAAATATATCAACCCAAAGTGTTTATGGGTCTACTGATAACTGTTTAAATCTTAGCTATATTTAGAGAGACGCTCCTCTTTTAAATTCCCAGTATGGCTTATTTTGTGCATTCTGTTTTATTTACTTATTTTTGAGACAAGTTCTCCCTCTGTCACCCTTCCTGGAGTGCTGTGGTATGAACGTAGCACACTTCAGCCTCGGACTCCTGGGCTAAAGCAATTCCCCTGCCTCAGCTTCCTGAGTAGTCCCAGCTAATTGTTTTAGTTTTTGTAGAGATGGGGTCTTGCTATGTTGCCCAGTTTGGCCTCAAACTCCTGGGCTCAAGCAGTGCTCCAGCCTCTGCTTGTTAAAGTCCTGGGATTACAGGTATGAGCCACTGTTCCTGGCTCTGTTTTATTCTTGATTAATATTTTCAAGGATTTGTCAATTCTATTAGTCTTTTTGGAAACCAGCTTTCAGATTCTGCTGATTCTGCTGATGCTTGTTTTCCATTACATGAAGTTCTATTCTGTTTATGATCACCTTTTTCTGTCTTCTATGGATTAATTTTTTTAAAACTGCATGATAAGGTGGATACTTAAGTCATTTGTTACAGCCTGTCATCTCTCTCAGTAAAACATTTAAGGATAGCAGTGTTTAAGTATCTTCTTGGCCAAATCCCACAAGTCTTAATTAGCATTGCTATTAGAATTCAGTTCTAGTTATTTTTAATTTTTAATTATGCCTTTTAGTGTTTTTTAATTAGGAAATGTTCTTGGTCTTTCTTTGTCTTTAATGACCTTCACACTTTTGAAGAGTAAAACTCAGTGATTTTGCAGTCTTTCCTCAATTTGGGATTTGTTGTGACCTTTTTATTACATGTTCTGCACTTTAACCATGATGCATTTAGGTGCTGATGTCATTCAGGTTTTTTCTCCTTAGAATTCACTGGACTTCCTAAATTGAACCTTCATTAAGGATTGGTGTTATTTAATAATTCTGAAAAAAATGTCAGCCATTGTATCTCCAAATATTTCCTTGCCCCTGCCTTCTCTATTGTCTCATTCTGAAACTCCGATTAGACATATGTTGGACTTCCTCACTGTATCCTCCACGGATCATTCTCTCATTTTTTCATCTCTTTGTTTCTTTATGGTACATTCTGAATACTTTCTTCTGATCTTCTATATCACTAACTTTCTCTTCAACTGTGTCTAATTTGTTTGTCCCATATGTTGGTTGTTGTTTCCATTGGTGTCTGGTTTGTTATGCAAAAACAGTGACTTAAAACAATAAATGTTTAGCATTCATCATAATCTTCTGGATTGGCTGTTATTCCCTTGGTCTGAGATAGATTGTTTGGTTTCTGTAGTCAGCCAGCAGCTCTGTTGGGTCTCATGTGCCTAAGAACACCTCACTCAGATGTCTGGAAGTTGGCTTGATGTTAGTCTGAGTATTGGGGATCACTCAGCTGTGTCTTTCTCATTGTCAAGCAGGTCACCCTGGGCTCATTGACACAATTGTAGGTGTAGGATTCCCAGTAACATCAGTAGAATCACCCTAATGTGTAAGGTCTTCTTGAGCCTCTGCTTAAATTATGTTGGCTCTTTTTCTGTTGGCCAAAGTGTGTCAGATGGCTACACTCAGAGGCAATGTGAAAAGAGACTACCTAAGACCATAGATATGGTGAGGGAATTATTTGGTCACTTTTAAACATTATGCCATATTTCTTCCCAGAATTTTTTCTAAATTTAGCTACTAAATCTTTCATTTCTAGAACTTGCATTTGGCTTTTTTCAAATGACTCTTATTACTTAGATAGTTTTTTTGGTTTCCTCATCATTACTTTTAATGTCTACATTTTTTCTTTGTAATTAGTTAATTTATTTATTATATTTTAAGTTCTGGGGTACATGTGCATTGTGCAGGTGTGTTAGATAGGTATACATGTGCCATTGTGGTGGTTTGCTGCATCCATCGCCCTGTCATCTACATTAGGTATTTCTCCTAATGCCATCCTCTCACAATGCCCCACCCCCTGGTATTCCTCCTCTAGACCCCCACCCCCAAGGCCCCAATATGTGATGTTCCCCTCCCTGTGACCATGTGTTCTCATTGTTCAACACCCACTAATGAGTGAAAGCATGCAGTGCTTAGTTTTCTGTTCCTGTGTCAGTTTGCTGAGAATGATGGTTTCCAGTTTCATCCATATCCCTGCCAAGGACATGAACTCATCCATTTTCATGGCTGCATAGTATTCCATGGTGTACATGTGCCACATTTTCTTTATCCAGTCTATCATTGATGGACATTTGTGTTGGTTCCAAGTCTTTGCTATTGTGAACAGTGCTGCAATAAACATGCATGTACATGTGTCTTTATAGTAGAATGATTTATAATCCTTTGGGTATTTGCCCAGTAATGGGATTGCTGGGTCAAATAGTATTTCTATTTCTAGATCCTTGAGGAATTGCCACACTGTCTTCCACAATGGTTGAATTAATTTGCATTCCC